GCCTCCCAAGTAGCTGGGACCACAGGCACCCGCCACAACGCCCGGCTATTTTTTGGTTGCAGCTGTCATTGTTTGGCGGGCCTGGGCTGGATTCGAACCCGCCACCTTAGGTGTATGTGGCTGGTGCCTTAGCCGCTTGAGCCACAGGCGCCAAGCCCCTAAGCCTAGATCTTAATAAATGTCATATTGCTCCTTCTTGCAGAAAGAGACAAGCAGTGCCCTGACTCATGCTGGTGCCCATCTTGACCTCTCTGCATTTTCTTCCTGGGAGGTATGTTTTCTTCAGCAATAGTGTTGTTGGTCTCACTATCCATCTTTCAGAGAACTTCCTTCTTTAATACCATGGCTGTGTTATTAAGACACCATTTCCCTTATGCTGTAAGAAATAAAAAAAAAACCAAAAAACACCATTTTCTGTGACAACCATCTGCAATGAAAATGGGTAGATACAAAGAATAATCCAATGACTTTGAAAATTGCCAAATAATAATATAGCTATATTAAGTTGTAGTAGAGGTAATGGAACATTACCAGTGTAGTTAAATCTGAACATGACCACAGTCATTCTTTTAGAGATTGACTATAGAATGTGTGGTCTTGCCACAGCATCAGGAATAGTGAACATTTGCTATTTCTCCAAATCTATCTGTGTAATATTGTAATTTGTCTTTTTTATGTAGGAGTTGGCCTCCCTTGGACTGGACAGATTGAAATCTGCACTATTAGCTTTAGGCTTGAAATGTGGCGGGTAAGAGAATGGTTTTTCCACCAAATGATCCCTGTTTGCCATGTATTTGTGCAGTTTTCCAAGTAACTCTGATTACATTTTTTCTGTCATCCCATCCTGTAAAAATAAGCCCATGTGGTAAAGTGACCCTGGAATACTTTTCCCTTCCTGTCTCTTTAGGACCCTAGAGGAGCGAGCCCAGAGACTCTTCAGTACCAAAGGAAAGTCCCTGGAGTCACTTGATACCTCTCTGTTTGCCAAAAATCCCAAGTCAAAGGGGACCAAGCGGTGAGTGTCTGGCCTCACTGTCCATTGTTCAGAGGACCTTTACTTACAGTTTTAAATTTTATTCCCATGCAGAATTTTTACTACAACAGATTTCAGCGCCTGTTTTATCACCATTATTGGTTCACAGAGATCCAGCGTGGTCTTTGTCTCTGCTAATGGCAGCGAGTACTATGGCTATTAATATAAATCAAAGACAGTCTGTACTCAGGTGATAGAGAGTGAATGAAGTTCTAACGTTAAAATGGTGTTTGAAGTAGATCTTATTATTTCAGTAGGTTATCGAGGCCAAAATTCTTTTTTTTTTTTTTGGAGACAGAGCCTCAAGCTGTCGCCCTAGGTAGAGTACTGTGGCATCTCTAACTCCCAGCAACCTCCAACTCCTGGGCTCAAGTGATTCCCCTGCCTCTGCCTCCCAAGTAGCTGGGACTACAGGCGTCTGCAACAATGCCCAGCTATTTTTTGGTTGCAGCCGTCGTTGTTTGGCGGGCCTGGGCTGGATTTGAAGCTGCCAGCTCAGGTGTATGTGGCTGGCGCCTTAGCCGCTTGAGCCACAGGCACCAAGGCTCGAGGCCAAAATTCTAAATAGACTCAAGCTTATTTTTGCTAATGACATTTGAATCTATTCTTGAGCCACGTGCTTATACCGGTTATTTATTTATTTATTTATTTGAGACAGGAGCCTCAAGCTGTCCCCCTGGGTAGAGTGCCGTGGCATCTCAGCTCACAGCAACCTCCAACTCCTGGGCTCAAGCGAGTCTCCTGCCTCTGCCTCCCAAGTAGCTGGGACCACAGGCACCCGCCACAACACCTGGCTATTTTTTGGTTGCAGCCGTCATTGTTGTTTGGAGGGCCAGGGCTGGATTCGAACCCGCCACCTTGGGTGTACATGGCTGGCACTTTAGCCACTTGAGCCACAGGCACCAAGCCAGTTATACCGGTTATTTTTTATGTGTGCTTTTCCTAATTCTCAAACCCCCCCCTGAAAATTAGTTACCCTTTTTTTTTTTTCTTAGAAACAAGAGTTTCACTCTGTCACCCTCGGTAGAGTGCCATGGCATCACAGCTCACAACAACCTCCAGCTCTTGGGCTTGGGCAATTCTCTTGCCTCAGCCTCCTGAGTAGCGGGGACTATAGGCATCTGCCACAATGCCTGGCTTTTTTTTTTTTTTTGCAGTTTTTGGCTGGGGCTATGTATGAACCCACCTCCTCTGGCATATGGGGCCAGCGTCCTACTCCTTTGAGCCACAGGCGCTACCCCCCAGCTATTTTTTTATTGTTGTTGGAGTTTGGCCAGGGTCAGGTTTGAACCTGCCACCCTTGGTATATGGGACTGGAGCCCTACTCACTGAGCCACAGGTGCTGCCCTTTTTGGTTATTTCTTTGAGACAGAGTCTTTGTTGCCCTCTATAGAGCGCTATGGTATCATAGCTCACAGCAACTTCAAATTCTTGGGGTTAAGTGATTCTCTTGCTTCAACCTCCCAAGTAGCTGGGACTATAGGTGCCCATCACAGCACCCAGCTTTTTTTTAGAGACGAAGTGGTCTTGAACCAGTGAGCTTAGGCAATCCACTTGCCTCCGCCTCCTAAGTGCTGGGTTACAGGCGTGAGCCGCCTCGCTCAGCTCCTATCCTTATTTTTTTTTTAATTATTTATTTATTTACTTATTTTGAAACAGAATCTCACTCTGTTACCCAGGCTACAGCCTGGCTTACAGCAACCTCCAGCTCCTAGATTCTAGCAATCCTCCTGCCTCTGCCTTCAGAGTAGCTGGGGCTATAGGTTTCTGCCACAGTGCCTGGCTAATTTTTCTATTTATAATAGAGACAGACTCTCTTGCTCAGACTGGTCTCAAACTTCTGAGCTCCAGCAATCTTCCCACCTTGGCTTCCACAGATTACAGATGTGAGCTCTTGCACCTGGCCAGATATCCTGGTTTTTTTGCAGATAGGGAATCAGTATGGTTATGGAATGTGTCCTGTCTCACAGTTGTAAGCAGAGTCAGGATTTGGGCCCAGTTCTGCCATTTGTAGTGCCATAATTTCTTCGTAGATTATAGTGATAGAAATGTAGGAGGTCCTGATATCTCTCTCACCTTCTAGGTGAGGTCAAAAGGAAGTTTCCATGCTTTTATAAGAAGTTACCTCAGTAGTTTTTTTTTTTTTTTTTTTTTTTTTTTTTTTTGAGACAGAGCC